TCTCATAAAACAATACTACCCTTACTCACGACTGATGGACTCTGTCATTTCCTATTCTATTCTGTTAATTTTGATCCTCTCTATTTAAAAATTGTGATGCTAAGTAAAATAAATCTGACAGAGAAAGACAAATACTACGCGATCTCTCTTATATGTGAAATCTAAAACACAAAACAAAATTAGCTCGCAGATACAGAGAACAGATTGGTGGTTATCAGAGGTAAGGGGTGGAAGAAAAGAATGAACTGAGGGTTTGGGGTTAAAATAGATTAACTAAAAGTAAAAAAAAAAAAAACGCAATAAAATGTGCATTGATACTCATTAAATTGATTACACAACCTAATACTTCGAACTGTGTTTGAAAAGCATCTGTGTAATAATGTTTACGTTAGTCCTAACACCATGCTAAGCACTTAACGGGTGCTTACAACAGATTTCATGGATTAATCAAAGTCCCTAAGGAAATAATATATATAAAAGTTTTACATATCCAAAACAGCAGGCAGTCATAACCAGGCAAAAGAAAAACATCAAGATTAAGCTTCACATTCTTTAGACACCGAAGTAGAAAGATTAAAAAAACCAAAAAACAAAAAACATAAAACTCAGTTCAAATTATAGCAAGATAAATGAATACACAGAGGGTTTCCTTTTCTTAGAATTAGGGATCCTCAGATTACCTCTCTATTCTTAGATGTCCCAAGAAAGATGACAATCCAATTTATTCAGAATACTAATTGTGTTACTAAGATTGCATTCTTCCTTCTTCCTTTGGAAATAACCAGTGGGCCAAGATTTTTTTGTGAAACACAGTGAAAGAGCTATTTCCCAAATTTCAATAATCGAAATAGCATTCGAAATCTAAGCTCTCTTAATCAATTTACAGGTGCACTCTGATGTACGATTCAAAGTTTATCAAACTAGCCTCTCCGGAAATGTTTTGCTTAGTAGAAGAGAATTTTTATGATGGGGGTGGGGAGGAGATACGGGTAAAACAAATGGGCTTAGAGAAGAAACTGAATTTAGGGGCACCTGGGTGGCTCAGTCAATTAAGTGTCTGACTCCTGATTTCGGTTCAGGTCTTGATCTCAGGGTTCGTGAGTGCGAGCCGGTGTCCAAGCACTACTTGGGATTCTCTCTCTGCCCCTTCCCCACTTGTGTACTCTCTCTCAAAATAAATAGACATCAAAAAAAAAAAAATAAGCTGAGTTTATAGCTATGACCTGAGATAAGACCCAGTTCAAAGATAAAGGAACCTCAAATATTAATTGCTCCGTAGTTTCTCGTGCTGAGAAAAAGATCCTTATTACACCTTTATGTTCATCTCTCCCCACCATATACCCCTACCTACACACCTTCTTTACAAGCTGGTATTACAACGATCTCTAAGAGGTGCTTAGAGAACCAGTCAAGATTGGTGGAAATCTTGTGAAATATTAGCAAAGATACAGAGGCCCCGTTTTCAATTGGTTACCCATGGTTTTATGTTAGAACCCAGAACGGAGGATATCTTTATGAATTCTCTGGGGTCCAAAGCAGAAATGTTTTGGACACAGTAACACTCTGATTCAATTATGGATATAGTTCTTCATTTAAAGGAGAAGTTTGCAACGTAAGAATTCTCAAACTGTCACCCCTCAGGGTTCTATATGATGTTCTACAAAAATACATTGCTTCTAGGGGCGCCTGGGTGGCTCAGTCCGTTAAGCGTCTGACTTCACCTCAGGTCATGATCTCATAGCTTGTGAGTTCCAGCCCCGTGTTGGGCTCAGAGCCTGGAGCCTGCTTCGGATTCTGTGTCTCCCTCTCTCCCTCTGCCCCTCCTCCACTCTCTCTCTCTCTCTTTCTCTCTCACAAATATTTATAGATTTATATTTATAAACATGATAAAAAACCTATTGCCTTCAAAATGTCAGTCAGACTCTCGTAAATAATACTATTTATAAGAAAAATCTCCTCATCCTTAAGTATAAGGACAACTACCATGCCCTTGCTTTCCGTAAGAAAAGTAAATAAGCATTTTTTTCCAATAAAAGAGAGGAATCGTAATGGCTTTCAGAGCGAAATTACTCAGATTAATTCCATTCAGGAAGCATATGCTTCATAAAACATGTATTCTTAGAGAACCCATGAATCGTGATTATTGCTGGGAGAATTAAATATCCTAGGAAGCACACTGTAAACAACAGTGATACTCAGTCTAGCAAGAGCTTTGGGGTCGCCATATGTAGAAGAAGTGACTGACAGTCATGGAGCAAAACCTATTTGGGAAGGTTTCCGCGCCCCCCCCGTATCCGTTCAGCAGTATTTGTACGAAGTGAAACATCAGTGCTTTGGGGTGGATGGATGTACTGGAATCTGCTGGGAGAGCTGATGTTCTGGCTGGGCATTTGGAGTTTCCTTTTTTAATATGTAGGAAATATTTTCGCTCTACAGCATGAATCAAACAATGAACGTAATGCTACCAGCTTCTTCAAACAGAGTGAAAGGCATATCATTACACTTTTTTCCTTCACACATATTATAGAAAATTCCTTTTGTTCGAGATATAAAAATAAAAAAAAATCTTCAGAAGCGGGGGGGGGGGCCCAGCAAAGACTCCCGTTTAGCTGAAATACCGAAATTGCATGTAATCTCCTAAGGTATGTGGTTATATTTGCTTTCAAGCTTGGCATTTCCATTTGTTGCTTTTAAACCCCAGTATCTTCATTCAATTCTATCACTCGAAGTGTGCCACTAACAACAATAATCAATAGTTTCAGTAGTTGACATTTTTTTCCGTGACATCTCCAAATCTTTCATCAAAAGACTGTTATCCAGCCATCTAACCGAAAATCAGCGCTGCCTATAAATGTCATTCCTATCCAGAAAATGTAGTTTCAACCTCAGGCAACTGGAATTTATAGAAAGCCCAATATTAACACAGAGGCAACGAGAAAATTGTCTGTTTTAAAATAGTGTTGGAATCTTAGTTAGTCCTATTACAGTTAAGGGGAAAATGATACGTTTAAGATTTGGGGGGATTCTAAGGGAGTTTAATATGGTTTTTAATAATAAATGCCTTTTATGAGTAATATAGCAGAAGCTAAGAAAATGTCCTTCACATAACTTCCAACTGTTTTTGAAAGAGAATTCAGAGAGCTAAATGCAAAATGTAGTTTATTCTCCATTCTTCCATAGTGAATATAGTTGAAAAACATGGCAATTTTTTTCTTTAGTGATTCAGGATCTTGCAGTTTCTCAGAATTTTCATTGTATATTAATGCAGATAAAAATATATAGGAGATACATTGACGTACTTTTGCACAGATCAGACTTGTTCACTAATTTAAGGAGTGTTTTATTAAATATTTATTATAAAATTATCTTTTGGATTATTCTTTATTTTCAAGGGTATCTGCTAAAAAAAAAATCCACTTAAAGTTTTATTATTTATCTACTGCCGCTGGTGAGAATATGTGAGCCCATGTATTTATTAAAGTTCTAGGGTGGGGCACCTGGGTGGCTCAGTCAGTTAAGCTCTGACTCTTGGTTTCAGCTCAGGTCATGATCCCAGAGTCGTGGGATGGAGTCCAGGACTATGGGATTGAGCCCTACGTTAGGCTCCATGTTGGGTGTGGCGCCAGCTTGGGATTCTCTCTCTGTCTTCTCTGTCTCTCCCTCTCTGCCCCTCTCCCCCATTTGTGTTCTCTCTCCCTCTCAAAAAAAAATCCTGGGGTGGCTTTATGGGTGTATAAAGGGAGAAATAAAATTTTATTTATGAAATATCATAAGTCAAATAAGTTACAGTAGAAAACGTTCTAACCATTCATCTAAGAGTGACCAAAAAAAAAAAAAAATCTAACTTTGCCTTGTTTTTACATTCTGAAGCCATGGGGTATACCTACAAAGATAAAGTCAGGCGTTGCGCTAAACAAACTACTTCCGATGGTCAAACTAGCTGAACACACATTGCAGAGAAGCAAGTGGGGTCTGAGGAGAATGGAATGAACAAATGAGGAATCTGAGACACTATAAATTGCTACTATCATCAACTAAGGAAAGGATACCAAGTAATCTATCAAAACAGAAACCAAAGGAGGACGGGGTGTGTGTGCTTATTATGATTCGAGGAATTATTTTTCAAGCTAGGATATCCTATCCCTTTTTTCATCATAATTTAAATATACAAAAAATGTAGTCCAAAAACTTGATCATAGTATTTTAACACTCTACAGTTTATTTGAGGTAGTAGTAAAGTTCTTACAACAAGTCAGAAAACTCAGCTATACACAACAAAACTCCATTAGAGTTCAGAAAATTCTATCAGGCACTGAGCATAAACTTAAGGAGCCTCCTTGAACTACAGAATGTGACTCTCACCAAGACTACATTTAAACCAAACTACCCTAAACTTCTGTTTTCACTGTCGATGCATATGAAACTTCATAGCAGTAATTTTTGTTTCTAGGAAAAACAATGGTCTGAAAATTGTCTGGTCATTAACTAGGACAAATTCACCCATCTCATTTTTCTTTGTACAGATCATGTTAGGAAGAAGGCTACAAAATGCCAGATTAACATTTCAAAATGTATTTGAAAGTAATGAAGGGAAACTGATTTAGTTAGCAACGCTAAATAAAACAGACAATTCATACAGATGCTTTCCCTGTAAAATATTAAATAAACACTCCAAAATGGCAACTTTTTCAATGTAATAAACCAATCTCCCATTTATGTCTCTGAGCAAAGTTTCTCCCTGACCAAAGCTCTGGTTTTAAGTGCGGGTTTTTCCTGGTCCAAAATGTGCACCATTTAGAAGACTGGGATGTTAAATGAAATACTAACTGACTTTTCCTTCTCCCTCTGCCTCGTCTCCTCTTGCCCAAATGCAGAAACACATCAGGCCATGCGAAACGATGATTTCACTTTGTCCCCAGCATATCACTTACAAGAACAGATGCCATTAATTGCTCGTATGGATTATTCACAAGAGGGCCAAGTAGAAAAGCTTTACTTACTTGCCATTGTTTCATCAGCTCTCTTACTCCCTTGGAATCTTCCAGGAGCCTTTCCTTATGGGTGGCATCCTGCAGCACGTTGGCAGTTGTTTCAGCCTCTGTAAGCCAGGCAAGGAATTTCTCCAGGTCGAGGGGGAACTGCTGTAGCAATCTATGGGTTTCTTCCAGAGCAGCCTCTCGCTCACTCACTCTGCAAAGGAACAAACGTCCAGATGCAGTTCTCCTCAGTTATCGAAGGGTGTACCCAGGGACCCCCATGAAAAGAGCAAAGATAAAGGGACTAAATTGTAACGTACCAACAAAGGGGTGGGTTATTGCTAAAAGTCCTCTTAAAAGCAACACCAACTATACCTGTGTGTGCCTATGTGTGTATACACACACACAGACATATGTATGTACATATATACGTACGTATACACACATGTCAGAAGAGCTGTTTATTCATCATGGGTGAGGTTTTTGCTGAGCGTACAGTCTTCTACAGTGTAGTTTCGGTGTTCCTACTGGATGTGTGTGTGTGTATGTGTGTGTGTGTACATATATGTATATATATATATACACACATATATGTATATGCATACACACACACACATACACACACACTTTGGACTTTGGGAAGTTCACATAAGAGCTTGCAAAAACAATCTTTTTGTAACTTGGTAGTTTTTACTGGTCAATTTTGACACCTTATTTTCATATGCTGCAAAATCGTAAAGCTCATCTTTATAGATAAAGCCCCCAAATCCCTACACCATGGTTATCTTTGACGTCACCTGAGGCAGAACATCAGGATTAGGTAGGCAAGGAAGAAGCTCAAGAAAATGCAAAGCTAGAACAGAAAGTTGAACAACGGAGGGAACCAGACAGAGAAGGGGACTGCAGGGCAAAGGAGAATAGAAAGAAGAACGAAAAGTAGAAAAATGGCACATTTCATAGAAACCATGGCACAAAATATCATTTTGCATAACGCTACTGTGTTCTGCAAGTTCCAACTATGGTGTTAGCTTTATATTTCATTATCTGATGGTCACACAACTTGGAATATTCTCCTCAAGAAAAATCTCATGTGTAAGGGAAAAAGTAGAGCCTAAAAACCTGACAGATCTGGGTTCAAATCCCACTATTCCCTCCCGACTGTACACTCTGTATCAGGGTTACTCAAACATGTTCGTTCCCTTGGCCCACATCCTATTCCCTTTCTTCTCATCTTTTGGAAGGGGTGAACCAAATTCCCCAATGATACACAAATCTAAAAAAAAATTCATATTTTCTGATTTTATATACATATACATATATATACATATGTATATATATACACAGTATATATGTATATATGTATACATATATGTATACACATATATACACATATATACACACATATACATATATATATGTATATTATATATATATATGTATATTATATATATATAATTCATGTGTTGTGCACACACACACATATGCCCTTTGCAAAAATCTACATAATAACAGCTTGGAGGGAAAAGTGCCTTCGGCAGTAACAGTCCCAACTAAAAAGCTTCAGGTAAATTTTGTCTGCAATGAGGAAATTAGTACTCTATTTAAATGCCGCATTTGCCTTCTATTACCACACAAACACTTTCTGGGATTAAACATAAGCTAAAAATGGATTTGAAAAAATCGAACACTTGAATACGATACACACTGCTTGTTAGGATGTGATTGTCAATAATTATGCAAAACTGCAATTTATTTCAGCAGCAACTTTATCATGGGATGTGCAAACCAGGCAATAAACAACTCCTGCGGAGCGAGCGGCAGCGAAGCCCCCGGAAGAGCCGTTTATTCATCATGGGTGAGGTTTTTGCTGAACATACAGTCTTCCACAGTGGAGTTTCGGTGCTCACACTGGATAAAAATCTTCTGTCTGCATTAACTGGCGGAGGGGAGAATAGGTTTATGAGGATGCAGCTATTGGAAAAAAGGAAGCATTGCGCTGAGCTATTTATCAACCCCTACATAAACTTTAATACCACACAGCTGAAAGGTACCTGGGTGTTCGGCTTGGGCGAATGAGTGAAACCTTGGGTAGTTCAGGGGCTGACCTGGACTGCTTGCTCCCTGCTTATCTAGATTTCAAACTATCAGTGGAGGGAGAAATACCAAAATCATTGTTTATTTATCTTTCCATTCGGTATGATTTAAAAACTCAGAACCATCACCACGGCTCTGAGAACCTTAATGTTATAATCTGGCATGAAACGGACAGGTTGAAACGGGCGTAACTTGCTCACAGTTGGCCATTTCTGACCTACGAAAGGGACCATTTCGTCCGCTTCAAGCTAGTATTTCTAGGTTGGCTTGCACAGTAAAAAAATCACTAAAACTTACTCCACCTCCAGCCTAAAATTTGGGATAGAAACAAGCTGTCACATTTCAGAAGACAAATGCAGGGCTAGACAATGACATATTTTTTTTAACATGCTCCGACTTCATAGCAAATAAAGGACAAATACGAAACTCTCACTGCAGAGTGAAGCTTGGAGACTTAGATACTGTGTGTTTTATTCTCAGCGGCATCTTCATCATGAGCTGCTCATGAACCTCCCCTATTCTTAAACTAAAAGCACCACTTACCCTCTGCTTCCTCAAAAAGTAACTAGTAAATAACTCTCCAAGAGTTATTGGTAAAATACGATGCACATAAATCAGATGAAAGGGTTCTACTGAGACAGTGAGATTTCCAGCCAAATCCTACCAGTGAGTTTGCTGCTTTGTAAATTAGGCCCTTAGGGAAGAATAGTAACTCTTTCAGGACAGTGAGGCACCATTTTCCTAACGATACCCTCGTGCTCTGAAATATTGACAACCTCAGGCTGAATCTTTTCTAATTTGGAAAATACGTTAAAAAAATTCAATGGCCACAACAGCAGACAATCTCTTCAAATGAGTTCTTTTACAGCCCCTTTGATCAGAGGTGAGACTGTTGGTTCCTGCTCATGAGGCGGTTTTAAGGCTACATCCTTTATCCTGAGATCAATCTACGTGCACCGAATTCCTAAATTTTAATCGTGCCAAGTCTAGACTAGAAATGAATCAAGGGTACTTGTACGCCATATTTGTGCATCCAAAAGAGCTCTGACTGTATCTCGTATTTTTTAATTTTCCATAACCATGTGGCTTTAAGTGGCTTTTATGATAAATAAACAAGTGTAGAAATGATGAGAATCATAAAGAAATTGAAAAGATCGTTTTAGAACAAAAGTGAAGACTTTGGACAGGATGATTCTGTAAATGTCTTTGTCCAGGTTGCCCAATTATAGACCCTGGCGAAAACTTGGCTGAGCCTTGAAAGTAACAATGACTGGGTCTCAGTGATAGTACTAATACTTTACAAATGTAATCTACTGCAGAGGTTCAGTACTTTTTTCTATAACAACTTTTAATTATCAGTTATTCTAGCTTTATAATGTACAAAACTAGCTGAGAATCTGGTGGAGTAGGGAATGGTATGGTGACTTTAAAAGGTTTTCTTTCTATTCGGAGGGCACCATATACCGTTGTCAAGTGTGGAAATATGAGCGGTGTGGTAGAGTGGTTCTCGAAGTGTGACCCATAGACCAGCAGCATCAGTATTATCCGAGAACTTACAAGAAATGCACATTCTCAAGCCCTACCCTAGACCTACTAAATCAGAGACTCTGCATATGGAGTCCGGTGATGTGTGTTTTAACAAGCCTTCTAGGTGATTTTGGTGTATGCTAAAGTTTTGAGATTCACTGCCATTGGAGACCCATCTGTTTGCCCTAGCTTCTGAGGAGGATGCTGGAGGCAGGATGCACCAACGACTGGTTAGTGTGTGCGCTATAAAAGCCTGGCCCCCTCGCTCCAACTCAGGACAATTCAGGAAGATGGGGGGAGCACTGGGGATCGGTGCTGTGGTTGCAACCGCATTGAAGCCCAGCTTCTCCTCCTTCCCTGTCCTGCTTCCTTCCCTTGCCTTCCCTCACAGGTGTTAATCCTCGAGCACTTGCCAATAAAATTCCTGCAGGTTAATCGATTTCTCAGAGCCTGCCTTCTGGGGAAATTCACACGCTGGATTGTCACAGTAAAGAAAGATTTTAAACATATACATGCTTTCAAAATCTATGTGCAGAAATATACAACTGCTTGCACAGACTGTAGTCTCAAAAACAGGACAGGACGAAGGATTCTCACACCTAGGAAATGAGCCTGAAGGGATATTGTACCTTTGGTTGCTCTTTAAGAAGATCTATAGATAATGGAGACTTGCATCACCACCAGTCAGAAGCAAGAATCTACTGAAGGCACAAAGTGCTGTAGCTATAGAGCTTAGTACAACTCCACAGCTGCCCAAGATGGTGCTCATCTAGAGGTAATTCTGGGCAAAGAATCACAGAAGGCATGTCTTCGGCATCTCCATTTTCTTTCTCTCTCTCTCTCTTTTTATTTTAGAGAGAGAGAGAGGTGAGTGGGGGAGAGGTGCAGAGGGAGAGAGAGAAAGAATCATAAGCAGAATCCGCACTGAGCGTGGATCCCTTGACCCCGGGGATCATGACCAGAGCTGAAATCGAGAGTCAGATGCTCAACCGACGGAGCCACCCAGGTGCCCTTCTATTTTCTTTTTAAGAACTGATTATCAGTGAGGCAGTCAGACAAGTAATACTCTGATCTGTCTCTAAACACCCACACACCTATCAGGGTATCTCCAAATAAATCTCTAAGACTCCAGATTTTCCATTAAGGTGCATATCAGCAAATTCTTATGGGTCAACCTAATACATAAAAAGCAAAGGAGGAAAGGGAAACATAACTACTTGCCCAAGTAAGGCTGTAGAGCTTAATTAATGTATATGCAATATTCCACTATTAGGTACACGGGTGGACAATACTTTATCAGTGCACTGTACTGCAGGATTGTATATATATAAATGTAGGTACATATACATTTATGTATACACTTTTAAAATATGTATTATATATATAATCAAACAGAAATAAACATATTGAATATTTAAAAAAAATTTTTTTTAACGTTTATTTATTTTTTTGAGACAGAGAGAGACAGAGCATGAACAGGGGAGGGTCAGAGAGAGGGAGACACAGAATACGAAACAGGCTCCAGGCTCTGAGCTGTCAGCCCAGAGCCCGACGCGGGGCTCGAACTCACGGACCGCGAGATCGTGACCTGAG